CTCCTCCTCCTCTTGTGGAGGCTGAACAGGTTCAGGTCCCATAATTTCTCCTCGTAGGGCCTGCTGTGCTGACCCCTGATCATGCGGGTGGCCTCCTCTGGGCCCTCTCCATGCTGTCCACATCCCTCCTGAAGTGCGGCGCCCAGAACTGGACGCAGTACTCCAGCTGCAGCCTGACCAGTGCCGCATAGAGGGGGAGGATCACCTCCTTGGACCTGCTCGTGATGCATCTGTGGATGCACGACAAGGTGCTTCCTGACCGCGTCCCCACACTGTCGGCCCATGTTCATTTTGGCATCAAGAGTGACTCCAAGATCCCTTTCTGCCTCTGCACTGATGAGAAGGGAGTTCCCCAGCCTGTAGGTGTGCTGCTGGTTCTTCCCCCCCCAGGTGCAGCACCTTGCACTTGTCAGTGTTGAACCCGATCCTGTTCTCTTCAGCTCACCCCTGTCACCTGTCCAGGTCTAGTTGCAGCCTGTCCCTCTCCTCTAGTGTGCCCACTTCCCCCCACATCTTTCTTAGTGTCTTGCTTGTACGCTCCCAGTCCAACAATCAACATATTCATGTTCCCTCCCCCACCTTTTGCTCTGAAGCAAAGAACGAGGATTGTCAGGGCGAACCCCACTTATGCAGTTCCCTTCTACTGTGGGGAACTCGATCGAGCACTGGTACCATTTTGGTCTACTCTGTTCCCTGCCTTTGCCATTAAACCATTCGATGTCCCGAGGACCATGCGGCTTCTGCCTAACCCAAGACAAGCAGATGCCATACAGATGCAACTGGGTGCAACGTAGTGACCTGTGAGACACCAGGTCAGAGCATTAATCTAATGGTACCTTCCAGTCTTAAACTCTATAAAAAAGGCTAAAAAAAATAAAACTTTTCATACTCAACATGCTAGTTCAAGCGATAGAAGTGTTCTGCTTTGCGCAGAACTCTCTTCAGCACCAACAACAGTAGAATAAGTAAAATCTGTTTGCAAGATAGAATATGACAACATGGTAGGGAAAATATTACCCTAGTGCTCAAAGCATTGTAAACAGCGGAATATAAAATACGAAAAAGTCCTGTTCAGTGTCCTTTTAATTAAAAGTTAACACTAAATGAAAACAAATGTCAAGATTCCCCCAATACTTAAGAACTTTATTTTTTACTTAGAAGCACTAGAATATGTTACTGTTTAAAATTAAAAGCTCAGCAGGCACAACTGTTTGTACCAAAGATGCCTGCCTACTCTGGGGATGGACACAGCACATGTACTTAAAACAGACCAACCCTGATATGCCAAAAGTCATCTGGCAGGTAGAAAGCGCACACGACTGTACTTAGTTTTGTGCACGCAGAGCGCTTCCACTAGAACAGCTGGAATTCAGCAAGCACATGCTGAAACGTGAGGGCGCAGAAGTCAAGCCTACAGTGCACATATCATGTCTGGCTTGCACAGGGTCTTTACACAGCCCCCATAACACACCCAGATCTAAGCTTTTCTTAGTGACAAGTGCTATCCTTACTGGCTGTAGAGACAGCCGCCCAAATGTGACCCAAGTAGAAACCAGTCTCACAATGCTGGCCGGATGCGCGGACAGGCTGCAGGTGACTGAAGCACGAGTACCACCACCCCTATACAAGCTCGCGACAGGATCAGCTGTAAAGATGCCACTTCCATGCATCTCTCAACTGTTCCCCCGCGCGTCGACCCCGTGCAGGGAACGACGAGGGCGACTGGGAGCGAAGCCGCTGAATGGGGAGAGCTGGATGTCACGACAGAAGGAACAACAGGAAAGGTGCCAGAAGATGTGAGAGACAGAAACAGAGAAGGCAAGATGGAGAAGGACGAGAAACGAAATAGAGGAGGAGGAAGCAGATTTTCTGACGGGGTGACAGCAAATACAGGAGCGCAGCCATCTAAAGTGGCGGCATGTGGGGTCATGACTTTTGAGTAGTACCTGCCAAATCACTCCCCAACGTCAGGGCGAGATCCAATGGGATCCAGTAGGGGCACGACGCCCTACCTTGAGCTGGAAGTGATCAACAAGCAACATGGCGCTCTCCCCTGCATGTGCTGGCGTCCCCAAGAACGTGTTGTGGATGGAGGCGGCCACGCTACCAAGATCCAGTCACAGCCGGGATTACACGAGGAAGCTCCACCAGCAGGACCTGCCGTTTGCACCAGTGCGGTTGTGGTCCACAGTCCACGTCGTCTCCTACTGACACCCCCTATGTTGCTGCACCGCTACTGCCCCGTTCGGGTGGCCCGCGGTCCGGAGCCGGCGTGGGCGCACCTGTGACACCCCACAGCACGGCGCAACGCCTCCTCCGCGGGCGCCCTCCTGGCTCCGCTCGCCTCCGGCACGAGGGACCTGCAGCCGCGAGCGCAGTGCCACGCCGCAGTGGGTCACGGGTTGCGGGCAACCTTTCAACACAGACTCTCCTTTAAAAGCGTGCAGGTGTGCTCCGAGGTGTCCGAGCTCCAGCCTGCGCGGGGCTGCTTGGGCCCCCCTGCCCTGCCACCTGGGCCGCGACCGGGACTGGGACCTGGACCTGCCCGAGACGGGGACCGTCCGGCCGCGCTCAGGAGCGGGCGCTGGGAGGGAGGGAGCAGGGCGAGGATCGCTGGGCGACCCAACCCCGCGGCTGAGCAACAGCGG